ATGTGTGTACAATACATATATATTTCTCAGTAATTCCTTATTAACTACTTTAAAGTCATAATTCTGTGCCTTAGTTGTAACTCATAATGGTCAGATATTAGTATTAGATTAGCTGCATGTTATTGTACTTATTTTGCATTGGTTTCTACTGCCAATATAATAGAAATCTGATGTCTTATTTTTATTTACATGATTGGTTATTTTTCATAAGTCATATTGTTTTCTTGCTATTTTTACCTAGAAAAAAATAAATTAAAAATAGAATGGTGCATGGAATCTTTATTCCTTCATATTGATTCCATGTATAAATTCCAATGAAATTACATTTCTGTATTGTCTCTATAATTCAGAATTCTGACAACCAAGTGGTAACATACTGCTAACATTTTCTATGTGTTAATTTTATATACTTTACTTAGAGAAGGAAAGACAAAGCCCATATAATAAGCATAATGTATTATTTTTCTTCCTTTTTAGATTATATTATTTTTATGTATTGTGGTGTTCAGTTGTTTTTCAATCCTGTCCTACTCTTTATGACCACATTTGGGGTTTTCTTTGTAGAGATACTTCAGTGATTTTCCATTTCCTTTGTTAGCTCATTTTACACATGAGGAAACTGAGGCAAACAGGGTTAAGTGACTTGCATAGGGTTATACAGCTAGTAAGTATCTGAATCCAGATTTGAACTCAGGAAAATCAGTCTTCCTGAATCCAGGCCCAGCGCTGTAATCTACTTCACCACCCTCATTGCCCTTTTGATGGATTAGTAAATTCCAAATGCAAATCATTTGGTGAGCAAGCTTAGATATAAGGGCTGCAAGATGGCTCAGTAAATAGCTTGCTGGGCTTGGAGTCAGGAAGACTCATCTTTGTAAGTTTAAATCCTGCCTCAGATACATACTAGTCACTTAACCTGGGAAAGTCACTTAATCTCTGCCGTAATCCACTGGAGAAGAAAATGGCAAACCACTCTGATATCTTTGTGAAGAAAACCCCATGGATGCTATGGTCCATGGGGTCATGAAAAGTTGGACACAACTGAACAATAACAAGCTTGGGTGTGTTGATAAGATAGTTGGAATAATAATCTGACCACCAAGCACTAATATCTTACACAGTAGCATTCAGTTATTGGCTGAAAATTTCAGGTGATTATTCTGAATTTTAATTTCATATACTTTCCCAGAGTGTAATTTCCAAAATCCTTCTCCTTTTCTCTCCTCCATCCTCTCCCCTATTCCTATTTCTCTCCCTTTCCCCCTTCTTTCTCCCTAAAACTGTAAGCCTTTCTGAGAGTATTTGGTTTCTACCCTAGAGCCTAGCACAGTCTTCTATTCACAACAGGCACTTAATAGTATTTGATTAAAGATCTCTTTCATCATTCAGTTTCCAGTCTATAATGTTCATTTTTAATCCAACTAAGTTAGAAAAGGTGAACTGAATAATCACTTTTTCCTCCTTAGATTTTGATAAATTGGAATTAGATTTTGAGAGGCTGGTAAAGGAAAAAAAGTTTTCATCTTTTTTTACTGAATATAGTACATGTATAGAAATCCCTCCTGAATGGTAAAGTTTTGAGATAATACATTTTAATGCATTTCCTTGTAAATTTCACATATCCTTTAAATTGAAAATTAGAGTAGAAAGGAATAAATCCTAATCTTTGCAAGTTAGTATTGATTTTGTACATCAGATGTCTGGGTTCCAAAGGCCTAGAAAAGAATTCCTGAAACTTTCTCCAAGTGGTGAGGCAGGATGATAGAGTGGAATGGTCAGTGCCTTTGAGAGTCTTGGTTCAAGTCTTGGGTATGCCACTTACTTGGGCAAATTGTTTAGCCTCTGAGCTCAGTTTCCTCATCTGTAAAGTGAAGTTAGACTGAATCAGGGTTCTCTCCTCTTCCCCGCACCCCAAGTTGATTGCAAGCTTCTGTTTCATCTTCAGATGTTACCAGGTTGATCTTCAAGTTCAGGGATCTACCCAAGAACACATATTCTTCTACATATGTGCTCCTGCCACCATGCTTTCCTTCTTGAGGGGAGTTCCACTAGCAAGGCTTGTGCTGAATTTCTCTGCCATTCTATTTCTCTGCATCTTAAGTGGAGTAACAATGAAAAAAAAAACCCTTACACTAAACCAAAAATGAAAAAGACAAAACAAAATCCAACACCTCCTGGAGTTAGAGGACCCACATTCAAGGCCAGGTTTTATGATTTCTTCCTATTTTTGTGAGCTTGGGCAAGAGTCATTACTTATTGCTGCTACTGCTAATTAATATTTATATAATGCGTAATATGTACCAGACACTGTGCTAAGCACTTTACAAAGATCATTTGTATTTGATTTGATCCTCACAAGAACCCCGAGAGGTAGGTGCTATTATTATGCTCATTTTACAGACGAGTAAACAGAAGCAAACAGAGATTAAATGACTTGTCTAGGGTCACAAAGCTAGTAAGTGTCTAAGGCCAGATTTGAACTGAGTTATCATTGACTTTGACTCAGTGCTCTATCTACTGCACCACCTAGCTGCCTTTCTTGAAGTCTCTCTACCACGTTAGAATGGAGATTATCACATTGTATAATTTACCTTGCAGTGTTATTTTTTAAAGGAAAAGGAAGGGGAAAGGAACAAGAATTTATTAGGCACCTAATGTATGCCAGGCACTATACTTAGTGTTTTACAAATATCTCATATGATCCTCATAGCAGCTCTGTGAGATAGGTGCCATTGAGGAAATAGAAGTTAAGATACTTGACCAAGTTCGCAAACCTAGTGTCTGAGGGTAGATTTGAACTAAGGCCTTCCTAATTCCGGGCCCAGTGCTCTTCCTATTGTACCACCTAGCTCCCTTAACTTAAAGTAATGAATTTGAATCTTTAAAGTGCTGTAAGTGTGTTAGTGTTATTTTTGTTATTTTCATTATTGCTGGTCACTCTTCCTTTGCTTAGGCCAATGACTAGCATTCTCAGCCTTTCCCTTCCCTGCCCCAACTCATGAGCTTAATACTTTGGAGAACTCAAAGGTAGCTCTGCTTCAGAAAAAAGTCTGGAAATATCTGGAATAAATCTTTAAGGATTCTTCCAACTTTTAAATCCTATGAACCTAAAATATTTTCTAAATGTATTCTTTAGCTTTTTTCCTCCCACAAATTTGATTTCATCTGAGTAATGAGAAGTTCTAACATACAAGCTCCTAATACAGAAAGCAAAGAAAACTGTTCTTTCCTGGGTCCTGAGCTTTACTTAAACTTCAGTTTAGAGTTTTGTTAAGTTATAGAAAAATCATAGAATGTAAGAGCTATAAAAGACCCAAAGACATCATCTAGTCTAACTTCCTTAATTTATGAGTGAGGATTTCCTTTATTTAAAGGATGCCCCCCACCCCAATCTAGAGTGATGTGTTATCATTTGCCGTGACTAGCAGTTTGGAGTAGAGCCTTTCAGAAATGTACGTCACTCAGCATAGATGACAATTTTACAAGAGTTTCTGGGGTTGATCAAATGAAGTGGTTTTTAGAAAGGTGAAGCTGGCCCTTGATGCCTTCTTGAACTTTCAATCGATATTCTCATTGGAGCCTGTCTCATCCTTAGGATTAGGGCTGTCCTTCCTCTGTCCTGCTTGGGTAGCAGCTGGGGTTACATTGGTAAAATAAGTTGTGAAGCATTTGTAAAGTTCTCAGATAACTTTAATTGAACAAAACTAAGAAATGTTTGTAGTGAAGCAGAAATGACTGCAATTGATATGAATGGTTATGATTTTGTAGTCTCGGAAGACAAAGCAAGACAGAAAAACTCTTACAAGTTGGAGTCTAAACTAGACTACAAACCTAAATTATTGTACAGTTTTTGATGACTTGCTACTTGAAAGATATTGGTTTAATATAAAAAAAGTTGAGAAGCATTTCAAACAAAAAACTAACATCTTAAAAAATGGACTGCTTAGGTTTCCATTAATGCCAGTCATTGTCATCCTTCAAGAGACACCATTTGGCATTTGGCTTCTGAGAAGGAGCAGTATCATCACTGACCATATGTAGAATATTATATTCACTTTAGATGAAAAATGGCCCAGTGATTTGGACAGCATAGAATACTACCCACAGGAGAAGGCTCAACATAACTGAGGCTCCTGTGTGAAGGAGATCAGAACACACCAGACCCATGTTAGACATGATGGCTTTCACATTTAAGCATCAGAGGTCTTTTGGGATTCAGCCTATACAAATCAAAAGTGACTCTTGCTGTATACTGCCCTTTTTGCCTGCTAAGCTGGTACATATTTAGGATGTAGTGTTCCCATCTGTCCTTTTCCCAAAATCATGAAATGTGTTTTAGCTTGTAGGGTCTAAAGAATTCTCCCCAAAGTGCTACTGTATTATTTTCCTCTAGCATTAAAGCAATCAGTTCAATAGCAGTTAACCAGGATATTTAGGAGCTTGCTAACATTTTTTCTTAGAGTGCTGACTGTTAACTCGATCTGTAATCCCATGAAAAACCAGGGCTCTTGCATAGTTCCTTGTGGTGTCTTTGGCACCTCGTGGGTGTTAGTGGCAAAGTGACCTTTGCAGTGGAGCCTCAGGGAAGAATGGGCAGGGGTGGAGCTGACAGTGTCTTATGACTGGTTTGATACGTTAGCTTCCTTTATTTAACACTTTGGAGGTAGTAAGTACATCCTTCAGTCCCCATATAAGTATGCCCTGGATTTGGATTATCTGGAAAATGAGCCACCCTCTCTCCCATTAAGACTGTTATCTCCATGGCCAAACTGTTCTCTGTGAACTACCTTTCTTCTCTATCTCAATTCTGTTTGGCCCAGTTGAAAAAGTTTGGGTTATGGCTCTTTGTATGATAAACAGCATCCTTTGAACTATCATTTTTGTGTATGCATAGACTCAATACTTGAAGAAATACAGTTGGATTATTTCTATATATTATTGTAAACTTTCAAGCAGTTATGTGTTTGCTAATAGTCGCAACTCTGTCTTTTTTTTTTTAGATGAACGGGACAAAGTTCAGAAGAAAACTTTCACCAAGTGGATAAATCAGCATCTCATGAAGGTCAGTTTGTATTTCTTGCAGTTTATGTCTTTTTTTTTTAAATAATTGAAGGCATGCAAATGGGATGATTTGACTTCTAGAGAGTGGTGTGTGTATCTAGACACAATCATTTAGTGTGTGGTCTTTGTGTAATGATGGAGGTGAGGAAATAAGGATCTAAGATTGCGATTAGCAACATGTTATTAGCAAAATGTGTTATTACTTTGTTTTGAGGAATATTCAAAGTTAAAATGATGCTTCAGGGAATTATCATTTCAGCTTCTCAAGTCTCACTTTCTGTAAGAAGTCTTTCCCCAGTCTCCCTTAATGCTAGTGCTAGCCCTCTGTGAATTATTTTGAGTATATATCTTGTTTGTAAGTGGTAAAACTACTTATGTATATATCTAGTTGTTTGCATGTTGTTTCTCCTATTAGACTGTGAGCTCCTTGAGAGCAGGGACTGTCTTTTTCTTTCTTTCTTTCTTTTTTTTTTTCTTGTGAGGCAATCTGGGTTAAGTGATTTGCCTAGGGTCACACAGCTGCTAAATGTCAAGTGTATGAGTGCACATTTGAACTCAGGTCCTCCTGATTCAGAGGCCAGAGCTCTATTCACTTTGCCACCTAGCTACTCGCCCCCAGGGTCTGTCTTTTTCCTGTCTTGGTAATCTTAACATACTTAGCACAGTGCCTGATGCTTAAGAAGTGCTTGATAAATGCTGCTTAACCCATGGAGTCCATGTCAAAATGCTGCCATTTAATTCTGAGTCAAAGATTTCTTTTTCAGCGTTCAAATTGATTTCCGTATTCAGTCTGTGTTTGACTTTGTGGGTCTAAAAATGATAGAGTTGGTATAGACAAAATTTGTGAGTTCCAAGATTTAGTTTCGTTAAACTTGGTATGATTCAGGGAGTTCCACTTACCATCTTACGTTTCGATTTTCCTGCCTGACAAATAGTTAGAGAACTCCCCCCAGTAAAATACTATGATTTTTCAGCCAGCATTTAACTTGGGAACAGATTGTATTCGAAATGTTTACTTGTAAGTCAGTCACCATTTTCCCTTAGAAAATAATGTTACAAATAAGTTCTCATAAAATCCTTTTTAACCTAAAATAGATGTGAATGGGCTCATGGCTTCATAGAATTTAGGGTTAAGAAGGTGCTTTAAGGATGATACTGAATACCCAATTCTATAGATTAGGAACTACAGGACTAGAATGGGAATTGACTTGCTCATTATTATGCACTGGGATTTGAACTAAGGTCCATTGACTCCAGTCTCAATGTTCTTTTCTCTTCTTCAGTGATATTATTTTTACTGTCTTTACCTGTGTATACACTGCGTTCTCCCAGTAGAATGTGAGCTCCTCGAGGGAGGAAGCTGTTTTGCTTTTGTCTTTGTATTTTCCAGTCTTAGCACAGTGCTTTGCATGTAGGCGTTAAAAATATCGAATTAATTATTATAGTAGTTTCTTACTGTGTATTATGAATAGAAAATTAGACATCTCTTTTCCGAGGAGCAGCCTAGCTAAATATAGTGAGACTTATTGCCAGAAAGTTGTCTACTGCGGTAGTTGATGAAGCACTATTTGCCTGACTTTCTTATATTGATTGATACAATTTTTTTTGAATGAAAACTGTCTTAAATGTATTTTTAACATGCCCTGGAAGAGTTAATGTCGCTTCTTATACTTTGAGGATGTAAGCTATGCACTTAGAAGTAATCTGAGTTTATTATATAATTATTCCTGGTGTGTGAGCACTAGAGGAAAGTGAGCACAGGGGAGAGTGTTGAAAATTCAGTTCGATGACAGGCTTTGGAATCAAGGAATTCAAGGAAACAAAGAAAGCCCATTCCTGTAACTAGTGAATGCCTGCTCAAAAAGAGAGTCAGATGGCCTTGCTTGTGGTGAGAGAAAGGTGAATTGAAAAATCTTTATGGGGAAGAAGTAAACTGATTACAGGAGGGGGCCGGGGCCTGATGCCATCACTCTCAGTTCAGGTTCTATGCTGGGACAAAATGGGGTACTCTCAAGTCACTGAACAGATGACAAGAGAAGGTTTAGTTTGCTCTAACGCAACAAGAATATGCAACAAAGATATACTGGTACTTGGCTTTTCTAGTCAGTGTTCTCTTAAATGTGAAACATAGTGACTTAAGTCGATATGGTTTTGAATAAGGCATATTTAATCTCTCCACCCACAAAAAACATCAATATAAGAAAAATGTTTGCAGATCTTATTGTTAAACTTCCTGTATGTAATATTCTTAATTTGATATAATTTTGTTAACTTGATGTTTAAAAATACACTCTTACATGAAAAAAGACTAGGAATAATTATATAATAAGCTCAGATTACTTCTGAGTGCATAGCTTGCATTCTCAGAGTGTAAGTAGTGACATTAACTCAGGACGTGTTGAATATGTTTAATGACAGTTTTCATAAAAAAATTGTATAGCTCAATACAAGAAAGTCAGGCAAGTCATGTTTCTTTTTTAAAAAAAAAGTATTTCAGTGTAACCATAGACTACTTATTTTCTGTGTTCAACATTTATTTATTTGGCCTATGTAATTATCTTAACATTTTGGTGTGATTTAAAAGTTTTTTTTTAATTTGTAAGATGAATATAATAAAAATATTAACAGAAGTGAAAATCCCAAAAAATTCTATTCCAAGATAAACATCAACATAAGAATAGAACTGATATTGCATTCTCAGAATATCTGACATGCACAGAATTTTTCTTAGAATAGCTTCAGTGGGTAAACCAGTTAATATTTTCCAACTTCTTCACTGTTCAATCAGCACAGCAGATGGGCAGATTCTTTGCTAGCTGACCTTTGCAGATTTAGTGGCTGAAAGCATACTAATGTTATTGTTAGTTTTCTATATTTGGTAACAAGTGATGAAAAAAATTGTAATTTATGAGAAGGAAGAGATGAGAAAGCTGTCTTTGCCTTTGTCTACGGTATTTATATGTAGAACAGTTTCTGGGTTCTATTATTTCTGTTTGGGTTTTTTTCCTTTTTTACATAGGAATATCAGTCTGTTGGAATACATAAACTGAGGTGTATAGTGGCAATACATAACATGGGAGTACAGCCAAAATGCACAAGGGATGGGAAAATAATTTTCACTTGTTTTAGGTCTATTCTCAGTTTTTAGATCTATTTGAATGTTTGTGTCTTAGACCAAATTGGAAATGGAATATTAAAGTCCAGGCATCAAGATTGGGAAATTAGAACAAGTGATTTCTTTGTCTATCCATCTCTCTTTTTCATTTCCTTTTTTTACATTTTCTGTTTTTCATTTTGTTAGGCAGAGTTATATAAACAGTAATGCTAAGTTAGTTGGAGGACATGTCAACTTGGTTACTTAGATCAGTGATTACTAAATGATATAACATTTGAATCAGAGACTCAAAGGATCCACATAGTAGTAATAATAATAATGAATTTTTTTTAAATGTCCTTTAAGTTTTTCAATGAGCTGTACTATATTATCTCTTATGTGTTGGAGCTAGGATTTGAACCCAGATCTTTTTTATTACAAGACCACTATTCTGTGTCCTGTCATATTTTAATTGGGATAGGAATAGAGGTTTTATTGTTTTTGTGGCTCATATTTTGTACTGAGGAAATGAAACATGTGCATTCTGTAACACCTGTGGACCTCTTTCTCTCCATTAAGGGGTAGGTTGGGGCTGTCTTTTCATATTTCATTTGAATCATGCTTTTTTATATTCACTTTCGATTTTTTTGGGTACATTTTTGCAGTTTACATTTTTGTAGTTGTTTTCTTTGCACTGCTTATTTTATTTTGCATCAGTTCATATAAATCTTTCCATGCTTTTCTTGAACTTCACATACATCATTCCTGTGTTTCATTTATAGCACAATATTATTCTATTATATTCATGTACCACAATAGATTTAGCTCTTCCCTAATCAGTGGATATCTACTTTGTTTGCAGGTCTTTGTTATTGCAAAAAGTGCTGCTACAGATATTTTGGTATATATAGGGACTTTCTTCTTACCAATAACTTCTTTAGGATAGAGTCCCAGTAGTGGAGTCTCTGGTTCAAAGGGTATTGCGTCATAGTGACTCTATTAGCATAATTCCAAAATTGCTTTCCTATATGGTTGTACCTTTACACAACTTCATCAATAATATATTAGTGTTGTCTAACAAAGGTACATGCATGTACACACACTTTGAACAAGAAAATATTTTGTTGCTCTTTGTGCTAAGAATTTTTAATGCACAGCATTAAAACAGAAGGCTACTTCTTAAGAGCTGAAATTTTTTGGCATTAGAGCGTCAAGATTTTTTTTTTATCAGATAACCCTTCTGATTATTTTTTTTTTAAGTCGAGGAGTTATGGGAATTGTATATATAAGAGTTTGGCTGTATTGATGATCATTTCCAAGGTTATTTTGTGTTACCCAGAGTTTAGCACAGTGTCTGGCACATGATAGGCACTTAATAAATGTTTATTGATTGATTGGCTAGAGAAAATGTCATCCATACTATGTCAAACATTTACCATATTTACTAGAGGACTATGGAGTGCCAAAATTTATACTCAACTTTTGGTTTTGCCTCAATAGAATAGGGAGTACAGGTCAATTTTATAAGATGTAATTAAGTTATAGTAATAAAGAAAACAAGAAATCTGGATTGAGAAATTTGAACTTTTAAATTTAGGGATTAGATATTGCTGTTTAATTGAACCTACAGGTTGATCTTTAAATTCTGATACACAAGAAAGATTCAAAATACATAGAATGAAGAGCAATTATTAATATTTATTTCTTTTCATTTTTCTTTATAAAGTTATATATTTGAGTATTCTCTTCTTTTTTTTGGGGAAAAAGTCCATTTTAATTGTTTCTCAAATTTATAAGCAGAGGGTGAAAAATGGAAAGAGTGAGCACGTGATGTGGATTAATAAAATGAGAATAGTAACTGAGTTGAAGAAAACAGAGAAAACATGGTAGCATGAAGATAAGCAAAA